CGACAGTGAACTTGCCTTTAGCATTGTCAACGAATTTTAAACAGGGGGCGGAAAACCTCGGACACGTCCACAGTGTGATTTGTTCCGGCTAGGTGTGAAACCAATATACTAGTGAATGACTTAATCATTCCGGTATTCAGCCACACAGGCTGGTGTTCACAAATCTGTTCGGACAATCACCTGACTATGCGGCCTATGTAGGTTGTCCCAGAGGAACAAGTAAATGAGTTTACACAGAATGAGGCCGCAGAGTCAGTAAATTCGTCCTTTATTTGGCTTGGATGTGAACATCACACAAAGCTTTAATGCACAGACCTATCGATTGAGTCGGGTAATCTTTTTTGTAAGATTTCAGTTGAAGTGTCTCTCTTGAAGAGAAGGAAATGTACAAAAACGTTTTTAGCCTCAGTATTTTGTAGTGTTCTCAATGCCGTCAGTTATCTTGTTGAATAAACGTTCCGATTACCCGCGACTCGCAAAGAATGACCTCATAACACGGAACTCTTATTCTAGCGTGTCTTGACTGTAAATCTTTCTTGCTCTCTCCGCCAGACAACCAACCAGTTTCTTTTAAGCCCGTAGAGATACAAAGCTTCGGCAATTGATGCAATGGTCTTTCTTAGTTGCCTTTCTATGCATCGAACGTTGCACCGTACCATTTCATTGATGTCTGATGCAGACATCGGGAAACGGCAATGGGTTACGTTACGTTCGGACGGGCAGTATTGAACCCGTGCAACAGTTCCGTTGTTTGCTGTTGCGACAATCACACAAATATATATATTCCTCTTACTGTGTGTATAGTCATCAGTCTTCAATGGATGATTGTAGTTGAGTGCTTTTTCAAGTTTTGCCACGGATAAGTTCGTGAAAAGCGATTAAAGCGGAGGCCCCGTAACCACACCATCCTTTCGTCGATAGCGTTCACTGTGAAACTGGAACTAAACATCCACAACTAAAGCAGTTGTTTTAGGTTTTCTCGCAGTTCATAACTGTGCATAACTGGTTGGGATTTGTGACGTATTAGCATGAATGCAAATCACTGAAAGTGAGATCGTTTGCTACTATTTTATTCTGTTCGAAATATATAGATGTATATATTGTGCAAATCTGGAATTCTGTACAATTGTGTAATTTGTGCTGCATACCTTGCTCAATCATAAGGGTTTGCATTTTAATGATAAGCAAAATCTTTCCACTGGTACCGGTACCCTATCTAGCCCGGACACCAACTGACAAGGAAAGTGTTCTTTCTAACGCATTTAGAAGTTAGTTCACATTTTGGCACGCTCGATGTCCCCTGTTTTTTCCCATCTTGGCCATTATTGTGACGATGATTCGTTTTTCGCCGAAAGCTTGTATATAACTCACTAACCACTTTCAATACAACACAACAGAATATAGTCAATCCAAAACAGCGGTGACGTGCTCAACGTGCCCGGTGTTACGGTTGATGATGATGATTGTTTATGGGCCGATACATGTGAAAAATTGGGTACAGGGTAGTTTGGATCTACCCTTTTGCAAGACGGGGTAATTTAGGAGCAGGGATGAGAGGAACAGTATGTAAATTCATTGTGTGAGGCTCAATTAGGGTCTATAAGAATATTTCCCGTAAATTCAATACAGAAAACTGTGCGATGATCAGAATCTTTTACAATCTACTTAGGATAACAATGAAGGGAGCAATATTAGTAATCTTTCAACTTAAGTTTAGACTGTCTGACGAAAGTAAGGAAAATAACCGAACAGCAAAAACTTAAGAAAAACATAATGGTATACAAAAGTAGAGATGATTTATTACGTAGCCTGAAACCTTCGGGTTATACTGCAAACTGGTAATACAATCTTTTGGGTGTAAATGGTATTTGATAAGAGTCAC